AGATATTATTACTATATTTGCGGTCAATTATTAATATTATTATTATTATTAATGGCTCTGATGGGAGGCTCTAAAACATTGATTCGGCACCAGTTTTGAACGACGAACTTGCAGGGAATGTTATAAGCCATTTTCGTAAAATTTGAAATAAAAATTTCCAATAACGTGGCGACTACAAACTATGGGGACTTTCAGAGGCCTAGCATTGCGCAGTACGTATTACCATGTCATGGATAACATCAACAATAAATCTAAATTGCTAACGAGCACAAACATTTTAAAACGGAAAAAAAACTCGAAATGTTTATATTGAAAACAAGTCCAAGTATTAAATATCTATTTTTTTTAAAGAATTGGAACCTCTGGATGGCCAGAAATGACACTCTCAAAACTATGACAGGCATGTCACATTTTTATTTTTTTATTCCGACAACCTGTCAAATTGGGGGGGGGGGGGGGGCGGGGGGGGGTTTGGGGGGGGGGGTGGCCCGGCCCCGGGCTCTCCCCCCCCACTTTTGGAGGTAAAATAAGAAAAAAGAAAGAGAAAAGGGAAGAAAAAAAAAATGATAGCCCAGAACGCCTCAAATGTTATTTTCCCCCGGATCCCCTAGGACATTGTTGCTTCGATCGGCGCAAATTTCGCCCCCCCCTTTGGACATCTCTGGATCCGCCCCTGGTGACCATGAAAACTAAAATAAATACGTAGGCCCTAAACAAAGAGAAAACTTCGGTATTTTATGAGCACATAAAAGAGGAACACAGAGGAGAGATGAAGGTGTTAACAGTAAAAAGCTTTAGTAAACAGTAGGAAACCCGATAATTCTGCAAGTGACGGACACGTCGCACCGTTATGCGTTCTGGCCTGCAAACAGCTTCCCCACAGTAGGGTACACTCCCGAGCTATAGTATTGCCTTAATTATATACATTGTCGTATTAACGTTTATATCTATTTATGTTCATGCCTTTCGTCTATATATTTATATGAAATTCTATCATTGCCTACAAACACAAAGAAACAGTGGTATGATGTCATGATTTATTTGCCGTGTTCATGAATACTCTGTATAGTGTTATGTAACATGTTATGCGGAAATGTTTACGAACCGATTGGTTTAGACGACGATCAGACCTACGCCTGAAGAGGGGCCAGACGGACCGAAAAATGTGAGTCACATACAATTAGTGTTTAAATGTATATTTGGGGTCAAAATGGCTCCATTTCTTATTAAATCTTATAAGTGTAGTATTCATATTGGATTTCTTTTACTATAGGCTTTTGTTCACCAGGCTTTCAGCAGGCTTTATTTACGGCTTCGTCATGGATTTCCTTCCATTTTTCTGAACTCTGTTTTTTGTAACCAATTAGATTCTCTTTCGTATTCACACTCGTGCAATACAGTACTACCGTACGTGAACTCTACACGACAATCAGCTTTTAAACAGAAGGAAATATACCAAGCCCAACATGAAAGTCTGAATCTGAAAACACTGTCGATTGTAAGAACATTTTGCTTGACGTTTTTTTTCTTTTAATTAACTGCTTGATTTTAGTCTCACACTTTTTCTAGCACATCTGAATTCTTGCATAATTATTATGTAACTCTGCCAATATGCTCTGTTGTGTATTTTGTATAGACTTCACAAGTTTTAATGTCCTAATTTCATGTTCAATATAACCATTGCTGTTTATTTTTTCTTGCCAAATTTGGAATCAGAAAGTTGTGAAAATAATTGCAATAAAAAAAAGTTGACCTTGTTTTCAGGATTGTAGGCCTTGTTTTCAAAACGTTGATATGTTACATGCTTAAGCCTCCTGCTTTCTGACGAATAATATTGAAATAGCAATTTGTTGTCCCAATTTTACAAAACCAAAATGAATTGTGAATAGTCCTAATAATAAAATATATGAAAAATGTATTCACAAATAATGAAAAGTTAATAATAATAATAAAAATAATGATAATAATAATACAGTAATAATGATGATGATGATAATAATAATAATAATAATAATAATAATAATAATAATAAATAATAAAATAAATAAATAAATAAATAAATAATTCACCGTCACCTGGTAAGTATAGTTAGTAACATTAGACGCCTATACAGCAACAAAAACCAGCGGATCGAGCGAACCGACATAGATATCAGAATATATATTTTTATGTTATTATTCAACACAGAAATTTATGAGTGAATTAAGTTAGACAAAGATGTTCAGTGTGCGAAGAGTTTTTATGAAGAAGTTGGTAACCTGTACGGTCCTGATTTGTAGCCTTTACTTGGCACACAATGTGGTATTGTGGAGAGCATTGGAATCAGGAGCAAAAGGATCAAGAACAAGTTTAGGTGCTATTAGGACTGAAAAACAGGTAATACGGATTTAGGTTTAAGACACATGGAAGCCCTATAATTAGGCTGTAATCTTAGTCCATAATTCTTACGGGATTTCCACTCATTCCCCAAAGACACCAGCATTTTTATGTTTTTGGTCAAATCTTCAAAGTAAAATAGATATTTTGGTCAAATAATTGTTTTAAGCTAGACATCCTCTTTAAACATGGCGATAAACATGAGGTTCATCGAAGTCTTTTTATTGTATTTATTCGATTACCACATGAATATAAGCACACGGTTACAACGAAATAAACGTGTATTTCGTCTTCACAAACTTGCACACAAAATTATAAATCTTTTACACAAAAGAATTAAATACTTTCTAAAATTCAGCAGGTCGCGTTTGGTGATTGTCCCGTTCTGAGATACAATCCCAGAATTCCCCTGCCTTCTGAAGGATGTCGTCGTGTAAAACCTGTCAGCGGATCTTGCAAACTTGCTCAAGAGCTATTCTTTTCAGAGCCAACAGCTACATGCCAACATCAACTAAATAAAAACATCTGTCAAATTATTGTGAGTAGATCTATTTTAGCTATACAACAAAAAATCACCAAGACTCGAACCAGGAACTTTTATATATATATATATATAAATTAAAAAGGATAACAGAAAATAAATTAAAATTAAAGAAAAAATCACCAAGACTCGAACCAGGAACTTTTATATATATATATATATAAATTAAAAAGGATAACAGAAAATAAATTAAAATTAAAGAAAAAATCACCAAGACTCGAACCAGGAACTTTTTACACCTTACCAATAGACCACGAGAAATCGTGGGTAGTTCCTTTCAATCCTTACTATATAAATCTAATTATATACATGCATACATACATTTAACGTGTATGACGTCACGAAATTGATATAACACTAATACCGAACGTAATTAGACTTATAGAGATCTGTAAGCTACACTTTCTTCTGTGCATTATTTTCAGCTAGCTGGAACACGAAGGACTATATTGACGATATATTTTATTCTAATTTTATTTTTTAGGAGTATGATGGTCATGTTGATGTTGAATGTTTCGAAAAAGCTTGTGTTGATGAGACAATGGTTTCACTCGGTGAAATAAATCGAGATACTGGGGTACTAGATTGGCAGGACTTTCCATCTACACATGACCTTGAAACACACCTGAGGGCGGTGTTCACAAAATATATTGATCATTATGGGTTTTGTTTTATCAAATGTGCAATCAGCACTAATAAGTTAGCTCAGCAACTGCTGGTTGTACCACCTTTCATTCGACCTAATAAGAAGTATTCAGATTCGCAATCAAAATTTAATATTAATATCATGCTCATCGATTCCGTCTCACACAGTCATTTCCTTCGCTCCATGCCGACAACTCTCAAAACACTTCGATCAATTCAGAAAACATCAACATCAGTATTTAATTTTGAATTATTTCAGTCGTTGAAAAGCAGAACATACGAAAATTTACAGGCAATGTTTTCTGGTGTGTTGTATGATGACAAGAGACCGTATATAGAGCCAGAATTACCACCTGTACCAATATATCCAGAACGTTTATTATCCGGATTCAAAAAGCAAGGATACGAAACCATGTACACGGAAGACATTTGTTGGACATGGAGAACAGGACTTGTTAAAAATCTTCTAGCATTTATGCCAAAAGGCAACATCACAACCAGATGGCAACTTTTAAAAATGAAGTTGGAAAAAGCTAAGATTGATCGCATAGATATGACATTAGCGAGTTGTGAGATTTCAAATTATAATCATATATATCTACCATTTTTTGGACCTCCTGCAGTATGCTACAACGGACAATATCAACACCATTATACCTTGGATTACCTGAGTAAACGACAGAAATCTTTAGAAGCAAACCATCGGTCGTTTTTTCATAGCACTTTGCTTAACGTTGCTCATGAAGATAGTGGTCGTCGTATACAGACTCTAGATGAGAGTTTAGCAGAGTATTTAAAAATCGTTTCTACATTAAACAACACACTTACCATCGTTCTCTCTGATCACGGAAATACCTACGGAGAATACCTTGAGAGAAGTGAAGAAGGTAGAGTGGAAATGTTTCATACTTTTTTATTTATGGTTGTTCCACCAGGTGTTTCCAAAAACTTAGGAGAAAAGCGTATGAGTGCATTAAACGTGAACCAACAGCGTCTTGTGAGTATTTTGGACATTCATTATGCTCTGAGGGTTTTAAGCGAAGGAAAGGTAGGCAACTTAGACGAAAAACACCAGAAATATTTAATCAAAGCTGATGGAATCTTCTCGGAGATATCATCAAACAGATCGTGTAATAGCATTCCTAGAATTGAACCAAATATCTGTATCTGTGAGGGTTATGAATATGCTGCTGACAATAATGCAGGTTTTGCAGTAATGGCGGAATTCGCTCTTGGTTCCATCAACAATGAAATACAGCAGCAATTTCGCAAATCAAATCCAGATGCTATGAGAGGATTTGGTTCCTGTCAACGACTAGTGGCTCACGATTTTGGCAACATCAAACACAGACATAATGAGGTCAGATATATATTTGAAATAGTGAATTAAAAAATATACAAAGTTAATAAAAATCAGAAATCATATTTTGAGTGCATAATTGTGGCATGTTATGTTTCATACATTAAAACAACATTTGATATCAAATAAAATAATAATTTCATTATTATTCTCTTTTAGTTTGGAGACCATGAAGTAAAAATGGATCTATATATTCCCAACCCGGATGAGCTCAAGTTTATGGAAATCCTTATGGTGACATTGATAGTTTCACGTAAAGACAGCGAAAGCATGAAGTTAGTGAGGTATAAACGGATAACAAAATATGGTCCGTTTGAAGGATGCGCCGACAACGGTGTTTCGATTCAGTTATGCGTTTGCTCATTACAGAAAGATCAGAATCATATAAGTCTCAAAGAAATGCCTGATTTTAGAAATTATCCAGAAATCTTCGGCAGCCAAACATTACTTAAGCCAGTACATAAAGATTGTTTATTTATTTTCAAAAGAAAAAACGACGCAGGAGTTGTACTGGAAGCAGCGAACATATGTATGAATACGAAGTATACAATAAAACTGGATATAACTACAGAAAACATGACATTAAGCTCACGGTCACCCGTAGAAACTGACCTTTGGCCAGGAATGATGTCATTTCTTGTTACAATGCTCCAGACGTCATTAAATTGGGATTATAAATATACAGTGAAATATGATTTGGTAGATGTTATAAAATAACATTTACTTATGGAAAATTAATATAATAATGTTAACATTGATAATAATATTAATAATAATTATTCCATTGGCAGTGTTTGCGTCAGGAGAAATAATAATGCGAATGCTTTTGGCCCTACCTGACGTGTTATCGTACTGAATAAAGACCTTCCAAAAGCAAACACATGGCATAAGACGTACTTTTATTTAAAAACTTAATACAATTCAAGTGATTGTACATTCTCATCCAGAGCGTGAAATCCAATTTTTACTGTCTCGAGCCGAATTCGACAAGTAAATCAAAATCGTACAAGACATTATTTTACTCTAAATTCAAAGGATAATAGATTATTAAAGATTAAGTTTATTTTCTTTTGCCGGTTTACCAGGCGTTGTTACCAGCTGGAGCAAGGCGCGAGAACCGGAAATTAAATGTGCATATTCATGAACCGGAACCAGGAAATGATTTTCAGAACATTACGCGGGTGACGTACCTTCCGCTTACAGCACGCCAGCCACTACGTCATTGAATGCTGATTGGTCAATTTTTACCCCCCCCCCCCCCTGATTTCAACGTGGGACCCCCAAAGCCCGGCTTATAATTTGTTAAATTGGGTGGCACACCACGCCCAGTAACTATAGGAACAACGCCCGGCTTGAAATAAGCCACCTAGTTCAGAATAGAAGGTGAGGTGAGCCTGGTTTATTCACCTAGTCTAAACTAGGCCTGCGCTAAAAACAACTGCGTCTGTCATTTTCAGTCTGCTCGAATGAAGATTAAGTGGATTTGTTTGTGTGAATCTGTTTCTTTGTTTGCTTGAAATAGTAGTAGATCAAAGTGATTGAACTCCACCTCTTAAAGCTATATTGACAATAGACTATAAAGACCGATAAAAATGCGTGTTGAAGAATATAAACGACGCGTAATATGTCGTTATCGTACGGTGTAGTGTAGTAACTTAAGACTGGTAAGTGTAAAGGGTAGAAACCTTTACATTACATCAAACCTTTCATTTTGAACCTTGATGACTTTTAGTGTTCCATTAATACTTTTCTTATAATTTAAAAGTTTATGAAGTCTTTGTACAATTGATTTGAATAATATGATTATAAAAAACGAATTACTGTTACTTTGTACCATGTTTCTAAGCACTATATCCAGTGTTGACATTTTATTATTATTTAGTTGTGTTTAGTCTGTTAGTTTCCAGGACGGTAGTTACAAATAATATCAATGGTCCAATCTAACCGGAGACCTAGAGATCTCCACCGTTTAGCGCACACACAATGGCTACCACCAGATTATCCGACTGAGCTATAGCTATAAATGAGACTACAAAGCCCTGTCCAGACTATCACATTTTCTTTAACAAAATGTGTTAGATATCACATCATGACCATATATAGGTACATCATGTCCATATATAGCAAAGATACTAGAAACACAAGATAGAGTTCTTCACAGAAAAAAACTGTTCCACTGAAATACATGGTGGGAATACAAACAATGGGGCGCCGCTTACGGTTGGATCTAAAAAAAAACTCTGCCACCGTTACATAACTGTGAATACATAACTTACTTTTGCGGAGGTTGATTTCGTTGCCATCCATAACATACAAACAAGTAGGCATAAATAAATCAAAACAATAAAATGACAGACACAAAAGTGCAGAATCGTATGACCGGACTCTGATTAGTGACGAAGTTTCCCACCATTAGTGAAAAAAAGAAGGGCGCCATCTACGTCTGGCCATGTACAGTATAGAAAATTTGCATAATAAAAAGAGAAGGGCGCCGCGCACGTCTGGATTAATTTCCGCCTCATTTTGGCTATGCGAGTGCTCTATCTTGTATTTCTAGTTTCTTTGATATATGACCACATCATAACTATATATAGGCATACAGCAGTTTTTTGTCAAAGAAAATTAGATAGTCTGGACACATCTTTAGGTAGAAATGATCAACTTCACCCAGATGCGTATGTACAGAATGTTTACAACAGTACTAGCAAACGGAATGCATTGGTTTTATAGGGATACGTCAAAAACAAATTAGGTCTGTAGCTTTATTCCAATGGTGAAGCATTAGAATTAGATTAGGAAGTGGGGAAAATTCTGTGGGTAAGAAATTTGTTGTAGTAACTAAATGTTAACCTATATAACCTATTTCTTTCTCTACTTACAATCCCATAAAACAAATGAAAATGTAGAACATCTCTAGTCTACATAGTAATACTAGGCCTATACATAGCGAAGGGAAGTTTGGACATTTGGGATGGCGTCATTTTCTTGAATAATTAATGATTTTCTGATACTTATGTTGATAATAAAAAGCAAAGTGTAATATTAATCACGGAACAGTGAAATTATCTAATAAACCTGATAACTTCCAAAATGTTGACCTGTTATATGCTTATGCTTCCTCCTCTCTGTACTTTAAAAAAAATTGATATATGCTGGGATACCTATTCAGTAAATTCTTACTGTTCTACTAGTATGCATAAAATATTTAAATTCACATGCAAAACATTTATAAATGCATAAAAAGAAATAAATCCAATAAAACCAATAAGTATTTACAAACCATCAAAATCATGTTAAAAGTCGAATTACCATAACCACAACAACCATCATTTCCACAACAATCATCACAAACCACCATTGTACACGTGTTAATTCATGTTTTATATGTTATTATTCAACACAGAAATTTATTAGTGCATTTAGGATAAAGTTGGACAACAGTAAAGATGTTTAGTGTGCGAAGAAATTTTATAACGAAGGTGGTAACCTCTATTGTCCTGATTTGTATTGTTTGCTTTGCATACAACGTGATAATGTGGAGAGCACTGGAATTGGGAGCAACAGGATCAAGAACATGTTTAAGTGCTACCAGGACTGAACAACAGGTAATACGGATTTAGGTTTAAGAAGAAGAGAATATCTGTAGATGTAGCAATGGTCTATAATTTGGCGGGATTTTAACCCTTCCCACGAAAACACTGACTCAGTCACCGGCATTATATTTTAAGGTCACATCCAGTGGAGTATTTAGAAGTCTTGAAATGGTGAAGTGGGGGAGCTCGATAAAGAGTTGAAGGACGCTAACCCGCAAAATAAGTTGATGTTAGGTGATTTTTAACTACTTGCAAGTGATTTGTGGGGGCGATTTGGGGAAAAGAAAGCGCGCGAGTGATTTTTGGATGGGTTCCCCCCCCCCACACCATTGCGAACTAGATACGCCACTGGTCACATCTTCAAACTAACGCAGATATTTTGGTAGAGTAATTGTTTTTATTTCAGCTGAAGCTAAGCGTCCTGGTTGATTATGATGATGTATATGGGGTTTTCGTAGTTTTTCTTTTCTCTTTCTATTGGTACTCAAAGATCTAACTTGCACATAAATGTGAAATACATGGATACAACGACATTGACGTGTATTCAGTCTTAACAAACTTGCACACAACATTCCTCGAAATCTAAACTCCTTTGCATAAAGAAAATTATATACTTCTTTAAAATTCAGCAGGACATGCTTGATGAATGTCCCGTTCTGAGATACAATCCCAGTATTCCTCTGCCTTCTAAAGGATGTCGTCGTGTAAAACCTATCAACGGATCCTGCCAGCTTGCGCAAGAGCTATTCTTTTCAGAGCCAACAGCTACATGCAAACATCAACTGAATAAAAACATATGTCAAATTAATGTGAGTAGTAGTATTCACTGTTCTCTTGTGTGTAGGCCTATTTAAAAAGAAAATGAATTTATATCAGCACGTTTTTAACTAAAAGTATAATGCATGTTTATAAGTGTTCATTTTACATTAATCGATGAATAATAGTAAAATAAGTAATATAAAGGTTACCATTTTTTCTTTTATATTTCAGGAGTATGATGGTCATTTTGATGTTGAATGTTTTGAAAAAGCTTGTCTTGAAGATACAATGGTTTCTCTTGGTGAGATAAATCGAGGTAATGGATTACTAGAATGGCAAGACTTTCCATCTACACATGACCTTGAAACACATCTGAGGGCAGTGTTCACCAAAAAGACCGATCATTATGGGTTTTGTTTTATCAAATGTGCGATCAACACGAAATTAGCTCAGCAACTTCTGGTTGTACCACCTTTCATTCGGCCTAACAAGAATTCAGATTCGCAATCGCAATCAAAATTTAATATTAATATCATGCTCATCGATTCCGTCTCACACAGTCATTTCCTTCGCTCCATGCCGACAACTCTCAAAGCACTTCGATCAATTCAGAAAACATCAACATCAGTATTTAATTTTGAATTATTTCAGTCGTTGAAAAGTAGAACATACGAAAATTTACAGGCAATGTTTTCTGGTGTGTTGTATAATGAGAAAAGACTGTATTTAGAGCCAGAATTACCACCTGTCCCAATATATCCAGAACGTTTGTTAGCCGGATTCAAAAAGCAAGGATACGAAACAATGTACACGGGAGATCTTTGTTGGACTTGGAGACAAGGACTTGTAAAAGATCTTTTAGCAGTTATGTCAAAAGGCAACATCACAACCAGATGGCGACGTTTGAAAATGAAGTTGGAAAAAGCTAAGATTGATCGCATAGATATGACATTAGCAAGTTGTGAGATTTTACATTATAATCACATATATCTACCATTTTTGGCGGAACCTCCAGCAGTATGCTACAACGGACAATATCAACACCATTATATATTGGATTACCTGAGTAAAAGACAGAAGTCTTTAGAAGCAAACCATCGGTCGTTTTTTCATAGCACGTTGCTTAACATGGCTCATGAAGATAGTGGTCGTCGTATACAGACTCTAGATGAAAGTTTAGCGGAGTATTTAAAAATGGTGTCTAAATTAAACAACACATTTACCATCGTTCTCTCTGATCACGGAAATTCCTACGGTGAATACCTTGAGAGGAGTGAAGAAGGTAGAGTGGAAATGTTTCATTCTTTTTTATTTATGGTTGTTCCACCAGGTGTTTCCAAAAACTTAGGAGAAACACGTATGAGTGCATTAAATGTGAACCAACAGCGTCTTGTGAGTATTTTGGACATCCATTATGCTCTGAGATATTTGAGCGAAGGAAAAGTAGACAAATTAGACGAAAAACATATGAAATATTCAATTAAAGCCGATGGAATCTTCTCGGAGATAGCATCAAACAGATCGTGTGATAGCATTCCTAGAATTGAACCAAATAAGTGTATCTGTCAAGATTATGAACACGCTGCAGACAATAATGCAAGTTACGCGTTGATGGCGGAATTCGCTCTTGGTTCCATCAACAACGCAATACAGCAGCAATTTCGCAAATCAAATCCAGATGCTATGAGAGGCTTTGGTTCCTGTCAACGACTAGTGGCTCATCGTTTTGGAAACATCAAACAAAGACAAAATAAGGTCAGATATGTATTTCAAAAAAATAAAATAAAAAAAAAACTTGAATAAAAATCAGAAATCATATTCAGTCCATAATTTGTAGTGGCCTGTATGGATGATGATGATGATGATAATAATAATAATAATAATAATAATAATAATAATAATAATAATAATAATAATTTATTATAATAATAATTATAATAATAAATAATAATAATAATTTATTATAATAATAATTATAATAATAAATAATAATAATAATAATAATAATAATTTATTATAATAATATATAATAATAATAGTTGGATTTGTATAGCGCATCATATATACTTTAAAAAAAATTAATAATTTCAATATTATTCTTTTTTAGTTTGGAGACCATGAAGTAAAAATGGAGTTATATATTCCCAACCCGGATGATTTCAAGTTCATGGAAATGTTTATGGTGCTAGTTTCTCGGAAAGCTAATGGAAGCCTGAAGTTAGTGACGTATAAACGGTTAACAAAATATGGTCCGTTTGCAGGATGCGCCGACAAAGGTGTTGCAATCCTGTTGTGCGTTTGTTCATTAAAGAAATATCAGAATCACATTAATCTGAAAGAAATGCCTGATTTCAGAAACTATCCAGAAGTCTTCGGCAGCAAAACATCACTTAAGCCAGTACATAAACAATGTTTATTTATTTTCAAAAGAAAAAACAAAGCAGGAGTTGTACTGGAAGCAGCGAATCTGTGTATGAATAAAAAGTATACAGTAAAACTGGATGTAACTATAGAAAACATGACATTAAGCGCACGGTCACCAGTAGAAGCTGACGTTTGGCCTGGAACGATGTCATTTCTTGTTACAATGATCCGGACGTCATCAAATTGGAATTATAAATATACTCTGAAATATGATTTGGTAGATGTTATGAATAATAATAATAACACAAATAATAAAAATACTGAGTAGGCGGTCATACTTTCAGTAGGATTAGATTGGATTTTGTCGGTGTAAAGCATTTCCAGTCAGGCCTACTATATTTTTTTCTCTGCGGGAGGAAGTTATTTATCAATCACATTTACAAATCAATCACACAATAATGTTTTTAAAACTGATCTTTGATAATTTTACAAAAATAATAGGCCTATAGGCCCACCTTATTGGCAACATTTTCAGCACATAGATTTTATTTTGTATACTCTTTGCATAAATTGATCTCGCAATAATGATACAAACAGAGCAATAGATTCAATAATTATTTTATTTTATATGCTTCTATATAATTATGTTATGTTAAGCATGAACAAGGACGCTTTCATGAATAAGTTTTTCCTCTTATTGGCAACATATTCATTGCATAAATTTGACCTCGCAATAATTATGGCAAACAGAGAAATAGATTCAATAATTATTTTATGTTATATGCTCCTTTATAATTATGTTTTGTTAGGCATGAACAAGCACGTTTGCATGATTAATTTTTCCATCTTTATTTATAATTTTTTTGTATCTTAGTTCGTAATCATCATTAATCAAAATATGACATATTGTTATCTTTTTAGACGTTTCGATGTGTTCGCAGTTGTTGCTCTAATGCTGTCTTATAAATCGAAAAGGCTGTTATAGTATTTGCGTTCTTTACCCACGATTAATTTATCAAAAGCATGAACTTCATATTATATTGGATAATGCTGACTGTAATTTGGTGGGTTTAAAGTAAAGTGATTTTTCTTTAAATTAGTCACTCTATTGCCCCACAAACATTGTTCTTTCATGTCTATAGCTGTTACTGAATATTGTTTTATTATCTACATCTGATATAATATGCATTATATATATATATACATATATAAATATATACAAAAAATATGGTTATATTATCCTATACTTTATGCAATTATGTTTAATTGTGATTAAAATAAATATATATATATAAATGTATACAAAAAATAATGGTTATATTATCCTATACTTTATGCAATTATGTTTAATTGTGATTAAAGGCAATAAACCATCACAGTCCTGATATAGCACCGGTATTTATAATTATTCGTAATTAACGATACATATTTTTTTTTTGTATATTGTCTAATTATGATTTTCAAAAATGGGTGCGATGACTTTTTCTTTCTTTCTTATTTTTGCATTTCAATGTGAACAATAAGCCGCAATAAAATTATTTGTGTGAAGTACCTTTGAAAAAAAAACAAAAACCTAGGTTCCAAATTTATATTAAAGATTTAATTTTATATTACTTTTTTTTAATTAAAAAAATGTAACGGTATACATTTACAGATTAGGTGTAACAATAAAAACGGTCCTGTATCAGACCTATTTAAGTACTATAATCGCATACTTAAAATAAGTTTCCATATAAAAATAGGCCTACTTAGGTTTATCAATTGAATAAGTACAGAAGAGAACAAAAACAAGTTAGATATTTATCTAAGATAATCTTTTTACGGAGGACGACACATAATGAGAATTTTCCCTTATGTCTCTGAAAAATGAAATTCAAATATTTCCTTTTCCTGGATGACGATATTGAGGCATGTCATATGTTTTTGTCGGATTTAAATAGTCTGGACAGGGCTTAAGAAGTATCGGTACTTGGCAAAGATACTAGAAATACAAGATAGAGCACGTGCATAGCAAAAATGTGGCGGAAATTGGTCCAGACGTACGCGGCGCCCATCTCTCGTTATAATGCAAGTTTTCTATACTTGGTCCAAACCATAGAGATATAATAAGAATACTAGAGCGCTAACCGCAATGTATTCGATGTTCGAAATACGCAGAACTGTGTGTGTGTACCATCCAAGATGGCTGCCATAGATTTAGCCAATCAAATTTCGCTAAGCACCATCGTTTTCAATTGCGCCCTCAATTTACGTTCGGTACAGCTAGTTTGAAACTCGAGCGTTGCGGTGTTTGGGTGTAATATACACGATTTTAATTTTCATTCCTTGGTACTTTATTTTTGAATAAGATGCTCCACTTGGCCTCGTTTTGGCTACAATTGTTTAATAATTTGTTATTACCATTACTCATTATCATTAATGAAATAATAGTCAGTCAGAGGGCTTATTAATATGTAATAATATGTATACTAAGCCTGAAGGTGGCGCTTTACTACGACGGCCATCTTGGATGGTACACATACATAACTCTGCATTGCTGCGCCATCTTGTCAGCACTCTAGTTGTTTAATAGCTCTATGGTCCAAACGTACAGGGCGCCCCTCCGTTGCTAGGTATATCCAAACTTACACGGCGCCCTTCTTTTTCCATTAATGGAGGAAAACTTTATACTAATCAGTGTCTGTCATTATATTGTTTTGATTTATTTATGTCTACTTGTTTGTATGTTGTGGATAATGGTAACGAATTCAACCTTCGAAAAAGTAGGTTATGTATTCACAGTTATGTAACGGTGGCAGAGTTTTTTTAGATCCAGCCGTACACGGGGCCCCATTGTTTGTATTCCCACCATGCCTTTTGGTGGAACAGTTTTTTCTGTGGAGAACTCTATCTTGTGTTTCTAGTATCTTTGTTACACTTTCTACTCTGTTTCAATGTGAAATAAGCCCATGTAAGCGGTGGCGTATCTAGAAGTCTTGAAATTGGGGTGCTGATGGGAGGGGGAAGGTGAAGTGGGCGGGGGGGCTCGATGATCATTGGAGGGACGCTAACTCGTAAAATAAGGTGATTTTAGGAGATTTTTAGGGGCGACTTGGGGAGGAGGAGGGCGCCCCCATTCCCCCGCGCACCCCCGAGGTACGCCACTCTATGTAGGTAAATTTGAAATGAAAAATTGCCTATACAAATTCTAAATTATGTTGGGGTAATTACATAGATCTCCCGTATATAGGAAAGAATGCAGCAATACGTGTGTGATGTTTGTGCAGAGCAAGAAGATTCCTTCCTCCACCTGTTCTTTTGTATCTGTATAAGAGTACCATCCATCCCCTCATAGAGTACTGTTGCCATATATGGGCAAACTTGAGATCTCGAGCACGAGACAACGTCATCGGGTTGGGGTCGGTGTGGTTAAAATTGAAAAACCATTGACAGCCCTATTCTAAAACACTGATAAGATCATTATTAATAAATTCATAAAGAACCGTGCGAGAGGTAAAAACTGGAGTTATGGTTAGATTCAAAGATTAAATGAAATCACCCTCAGCCAAAAGACTAAATGTCCTTTTATTGTTATACTGATGCGCGGGCAACAATGCAGCACGTAGCAAAAATTTGAAAAAGTATTAGGCATGTCAGCTAGGTGATAGGAAAATTACATTGAAAGTGAAATAAAGTTACGATCTATGTAAAATGCAAAACATGCAGTTCAAGTACACCCAATAAAGTTAAACCAAGTAGGTCTACGTTTTGTGGTCTGTCAAGCTATGGAGGAGGAGCTATGGAGGAGGCTAGACGTAAACCCTTTGACACATAATGTGACATGCCTAAATATGGTCATAATGACGTCACACCATGACCATATAATGTATATAGGCATATCATGACTATAATATGGACATAAACACTTTTTGTGATAGTTTGGACAGAGCTTTAGGTAAAATTTATACCAATACACCACGCAGATACGTATGTACAGAGCGCAGACGACAATACCAGCAATTCAAAAGAAATGTATTGATTTTATAGGAATACATAAAAAATAAATTAGGCCTATGCAAGGGTGATGCATTAGATTGGGAGGAGGAAAAAAGAAATTTGTTGTGGGTGGGGGGGGGGAACGGGTTTCTTGTTACTTGGCGCTTTTGGTTTCAGTAAGTTTTTCTCTGATCATTGTGTCCACACGCTTAAGTGTTGCTGCCATATTTGCGCAGTAGCAGAAGCAATGAAGATAAAGTGCCTTGCGTAAGGACACAAGCGAAATACACAGCGAAGGATTGAAACTCCGACCTAGAGGTTGGGAAACCAAACCCTTCCTGCTGCACCACACCGCTTCCTGCAATTAAATGTTATATAACCTATTTCTTTTCTCTACGTACAATCCGATAAAACAAATGAAAATGTCTGTATCTACATGCTGTCACAGTATTGCTATACACAGCGAAGTGAAGTTGGAGCATTTGGGATGGCGTCATTTTCTTAAATATTAATTTTCTGATGATAAAAAGTAAAGTGTAATTCTAATAAACCTGGTAAATTTAATTTTCAAAATATCGACCTGTTACATGCTTATGCCTCCTCCTCTTTGTTCACGAGTTAATTCATTTTTATATACTATTATTCAACTCAGAGATTTATGAGAGAATTCAGGATGAAGTTAAAGACAATAGCAAGGATGTTCAATGTACGAAAAGTGTTTATGAAGAAGGTGGTAACCTTTATTGTCCTGATTTGTAGTCTTTACGTTGCATACAAAGTGATGTTGTGGAGAGCATTTGAGCCAAGAGCAACGGGATCAAGAACAGACTTAAGTGCTATTATTAGGACTGAAACACAACAGGTAATATGAACCTACAGGTTTATAAAGCAGAGAAGCTCTGTTTGGTTGTAGCTGAAGTCAAAGTCAAAGTAATTTTATAAAATTACTTTGACATTGAATACGGGCCCAGAGGTTTAAGAAGCAGAGAAGCTCTGTTTTGTTGTAGCTAAAACCGGGCACTCACTGTCGGCGACGGTCGTCTGCCGGCGCAACAATTCCATGTAGAACGCAACTGATCGTTTGTAATGACAATCCGTTCAGATTGCCACGGGCAATCAGCCAGACGGTGGCCTAACGCTCCCAAGGAGTGAAATTGGATTCATCGGCCAATGGTCGTGACGCTCTGAGTGCCCGGTTTTAGTCTATAATTTCACCCCTTTCCCTAAAAACCTGACTCGATCACTAACATATATATTTGGTCACATCATCAAGCTAAGGCAGATATTTTGGTGAAATATTTGTTTTAGTTTAAGCTGAAGCTTAAACAGGCATTCTGTTTTGTAAACCCACATCATGGTGATGTACATGGGGTTCTTGTATTTTTTTTCTTTTCTTTTTTCGATGGGTGCAAAAAGATCTAGTTTGCACATGAATGTAGAAGCCCACGGGAACACCAACATAAACGCGTATATTCCGGCTTCGAACCTGCACACAACATTCCTCTAAATCTTCTGCATAAAGAAAATTGAATAGGCGTACTTTCTAAATTCAGCAGGTCGCGTTTGATGAATGCCTCGTTCTGAGATACAATTCCAGCATTCCTCTGCCTTCCGAAGGTTGTCGTCGTGTAAGACCTGTCAGTGGATCCTGTCAACTTGCTCAAGAGTTATTCTTTTCAGAGCCAACAGACACATGCCAACATCAACTGAATAAAAGCATCTGCCAAATTATTGTGAGTAGACATATTATAGATATACACTAATGCCCATATATGTACATATATACACATACATACATATATATATATACATACATATACATTAATACATATACATATATATACACACACACACACACACACATATATAGAATGTTTTGAAAAAGCTTGTGTTGATGAGACAATGGTTTCGCTTGGTGAGATAAATCGAGATACTGGGGTACTAGAATGGAAGGATTTTCCATCTACACATGACCTACAGAAACACTTGCGGACGGTGTTCAACAAAAAGAGCGATCATTATGGGTTTTGTTTTATTAAATGTGCAATCGACACTAAACAATTAGCTCAGCAACTACTTGTTGTACCACCTTTTATTCGACCTAATAAGAATGATTTATATTCGCTATCAAAATTTAATATTAATATCATGCTTATCGATTCCGTCTCACACAGTCATTTCCTTCGCTCCATGCCGACAACTCTCAAAAGACTTCGATTAATTCAGAAAACATCAACATCAGTATTTAATTTTGAATTATTTCAGTCGTTAAAAGGTAGAACTTATGAAAACTTGCAGGCAATGGTTTCTGGTGTGTTGTATGATGACGAGAGACCGTATATAGAGCCAGAATTACCACCTGTGCCTATGTATCCAGAACGTTTGTTAGCCGGATTCAAAAAGCAAGCATACGAAACCATGTACACGGAAGACATTTGTTGGACTTGGAGAACAGGACTTGTTAAAAATCTTCTAGCATTTATGCCAAAAGGCAACATTACAACCAGATGGCAACGTTTGAATATGAAGTTGGAAAAAGCCAAGATTGATCGCATAGATATGACATTATCAAGTTGTGAGATTTCAAATTATAATCATATATATCTACCATTTTTTGGACCTCCTGCAGTATGCTACAACGGGCAATATCAACACCATTATATATTGGATTACTTAAGTAAACGACAGAAGTCTTTAGAAGCAAACCATCGGTCGTTTTTTCATAGCACTTTGCTTAACGTTGCTCATGATGATCATGGTCGTCGTATACAGACTCTAGATGACAATTTAGCAGAGTATTTAACAATTATTTCTAAATTAAACAACACACTTACAATTGTTCTCTCTGATCACGGGAATACTTACGGTGAATACCTTGAGAGAAGTGAAGAAGCTAGTGTGGAAATGTTCCATCCGGTCTTATTTATGGTCGTTCCACATGGCGTTGCCAAAACATTGGGAGAAAAGCGTATGAATGCCCTAAAGGTGAACCAACAGCGTCTAGTAAGTATTTTGGACATCCATTATGCTCTGAGGGTTTTAAGCGAAGGAAAACTAGACAAATTAGATGAAAAACACCAGAAATATTCAATTAAGGCTGATTTAATCTTCTCAGAGATAGAATCAAACAGATCATGTGATAGCATTCCTAGAATTGATCCAAATATCTGCATCTGTGAGGGTTATGAATACACTGCAGACAATAATGCAAGTTACGCGGTGATGGCGGAATTCGCTCTTGGTTCCATCAACAACGAAATACAGCAGCAATTTCGCAAATCGAATCCAGATGCTATCAGAGGCTTTGGCTCCTGTCAACGACTAGTGGCACACGATTTTGGCAACATAAAACAAAGGGAAAATGAGGTCATATATATATTTCAATCAATTAAATAAAAATATACTCAGTACATAAGTGGTAGTGGCATGACATATTTCATACTTGGAACAGTATTATTTGATATAAAATAAAATAATAATTTTTATATTATTCTGTTTTAGTTTGGAGATCGTGAAGTTAAAATGAATTTATATATTCCCAACCCGGATGAGTTAAAGTTTATGGAAATCCTTATGGTGACTTTGCTAGTTTCTCGGAAAGACAATGGAAGCATGCATTTAGTGAGGTATAAACGCATAACAAAATATAGTCCCTTTGAAGGATGCGTCGACAAAGGTGTTTCAATCCAGTTATGCGTTTGCTCATTAAAGAAAGATCGGAATCATATTAATCTGAAAGAAATGCCTGATTTCAGAAACTATCCAGAAATCTTCGGCAGCAGAACATTACTTAAGCCAGTACATAAGCAGTGTTTATTTATTTTCAAAAGAAAAAACAAAGCAGGAGTTGTTCTGGAAGCAGCAAATCTGTGTATGAATAAAAAGTATACAATAAAACTGGATATAATTACAGAAAACATGGCATTAAGCTCACGGTCATCGGTGAAAGCTGACCTTTGGCCAGGAATGATGTCATTTCTTGTTACGATGCTCCAGACGTCATTAGATTGGGATTATAAGTATACAGTGAAATATGATTTGGTAGACGTTATGAAATAAACATTTACTTATTGAAAATTAATATAATAATGGTAACTTTGATAATAATAATAATAATATATTATTATTATTATTATTAATATATTATTATTATTAATAAATAATAATAATAATAATAATAATAATAATTATTATAATAATAATTATAATAATAATTATAATAATAATAATAATAATTATAATAATAATTATAATAATAATTATAATAATAATTATAATAATAATTATAATAATAATTATAATAATTATAATAATAATTATAATAATAATAATAATAATTATAATAATAATTATAATAATAATAATAATAATAATAATAATAATAATAATAATAATAATAATAATAATTAATAATAATAATTAATAATAATTAATAATAATTAATAATAATAATAAATTTGACTGTTAATGCTGTCTTATAAATCGAAAAGGCTGTTATATTTTATCCAGTATTTTTCTTCTATTACCCACCATCAATTTATCAAAAGAATAAACTTCATATTGGATAATGATGGCTGTAATTCGTTGGCTTTTATAAAGGTAAAGTGATTTACCCTTCAGATTTATCAGGGTATTGCCCCCATGAATATTGGTCTTTTACTTCTCCAGCAATTATCATTTTACTATCGACATATTTTCAGAGTAAAATATGAATGTCGCTTTATATATTTTAGAATCAATTCAATAAAACATCTTTATTCTATGACATGTAATACTGCACTAATATCTGTAATTCCAGTTACTTTCGGGAATGAACAAAACTACATTTAACTACTGTATATATGAGGGTACCGGTATAAGGGCATAGTTTTGTATATATTATATTTACACTATTATGTTTATATTACACTATTATTCTTTATTATATTATTATTATTATTATTATTATTATATTTATTATTATTATTAATTATAATTAATTATTATATTTATAATTATTATTATTATTATTATTATTATTAATTGTAAGTTAAGAGAATAAACAATTGCAGCTAAATTTTGACTGACTAGTTAGGCCTATATTGAAATTTAATGATGTAGGCCTATATTTTTTGTCTATTGTTTAATTACACAATACGTTTCCTAATAAAAACATAAGGTGATTACCAGGATTCATAAGCTTGTGAGGCAACAAGATTGTAATGTGGTGGAGGAGTGAGATCAAAGATTATAGAACTGCAAGAGGTCCGACTGTCCAGGTTTCGTTGGAACGCAATCCTATCTCAAAAAGTAGGCCTAATCAAAGATCTTATAAACACAAGATAGCGTTCTCCGCGATTTACG